ATTGGTAGAGTTGCTCCATTGGTAGAGTGGCTACATTGGTAGAGTGGCTACATTGGTTGTGTGGCTACAATGGTAGAGTTGCTACATTGGTAGAGTGGCTACATTGGTAAAGTATCTACATTGGTAGAGTGGCTACATTGGTAGAGTGGCTACATTGTTTGTGTGGCTACATTGGTTGTGTGGCTACATTGGTTGTGTGGCTACATTGGTTGTGTGGCTACATTGGTAGAGCGGCTACATTGGTAGAGTGGCTACATTGGTAGAGTGGCTACATTGGTTGTGTGGCTACATTGGTTGTGTGGCTACAATGGTAGAGTGGCTACATTGGTAGAGTGGCTACATTGGCTACATTGTTTGTGTGGCTACATTGGTTGTGTGGCTACATTGGTAGAGTGGCTACATTGGTTGTGTGGCTACATTGGTTGTGTGGCTACATTGGTAGAGCGGCTACATTGGTAAAGTGGCTACATTGGTAGAGTGGCTACATTGATAGAGTGGCTACATTGGTAGAGTGGCTACATTGGTAGAGTGGCTACATTGGTAGAGTGGCTACATTGGTAGAGTGGCTACATTGGTAGAGTTGCTCCATTGGTAGAGTTGCTCCATTGGTAGAGTGGCTACATTGGTATAGTGGCTACATTGGTAGAGCGGCTATATTGGTAGAGTGGCTACATTGGTAGAGTGGCTACATTGGTAGAGTGGCTACATTGGTAGAGTGGCTACAATGGTAGAGTTGCTCCATTGGTAGAGTGGCTACATTGATAGAGTGGCTACATTGGTAGAGTTGCTCCATTGGTAGAGTGGCTACATTGGTAGAGTGGCTACATTGGTAGAGTGGCTACATTGGTAGAGTGGCTACATTGGTAGAGTGGCTACATTGGTAGAGTGGCTACATTGGTAGAGTGGCTACATTGGTAGAGCGGCTACATTGGTAAAGTGGCTACATTGGTAGAGTGGCTACATTGGTAGAGTGGCTACATTGGTAGAGCGGCTACATTGGTAAAGTGGCTACATTGGTAGAGTGGCTACATTGGTAGAGTGGCTACATTGGTAGAGTGGCTACATTGGTAGAGTGGCTACATTGGTAGAGTGGCTACATTGGTAGAGTGGCTACATTGGTAGAGTGGCTACATTGGTAGAGTGGCTACATTGGTAGAGTTGCTCCATTGGTAGAGTTGCTACATTGGTAGAGTGGCTACATTGGTAGAGTTGCTCCATTGGTAGAGTGGCTACATTGGTAAAGTGGCTACATTGGTAGAGTGGCTACATTGGTTGTGTGGCTACAATGGTAGAGTGGCTACATTGGTAGAGTTACTACATTGGTAGAGTGGCTACATTGGTAGAGTTGCTCCATTGGTAGAGTGGCTACATTGGTAAAGTGGCTACATTGGTAGAGTGGCTACATTGGTTGTGTGGCTACAATGGTAGAGTTGCTACATTGGTAGAGTGGCTACATTGGTAAAGTGGCTACATTGGTAGAGTGGCTACATTGGTAGAGTGGCTACATTGTTTGTGTGGCTACATTGGTTGTGTGGCTACATTGGTTGTGTGGCTACATTGGTAGAGCGGCTACATTGGTAGAGTGGCTACATTGGTAGAGTGGCTACATTGGTTGTGTGGCTACAATGGTAGAGTGGCTACATTGGTAGAGTGGCTACATTGGCTACATTGTTTGTGTGGCTACATTGGTTGTGTGGCTACATTGGTAGAGTGGCTACATTGGTTGTGTGGCTACATTGGTTAAGTGGCTACATTGGTAGAGTGGCTACATTGGTAGAGTGGCTACATTGGTAGAGTTGCTCCATTGGTAGAGTGGCTACATTGGTAAAGTGGCTACATTGGTAGAGTGGCTACATTGGTTGTGTGGCTACATTGGTAGAGTGGCTACATTGGTAGAGTTGCTACATTGGTAGAGTGGCTACATTGGTAGAGTGGCTACATTGGTTGTGTGGCTACAATGGTAGAGTTGCTACATTGGTAGAGTGGCTACATTGGTAAAGTGGCTACATTGGTGGATTGGCTACATTTGTAGAGTTGCTACATTTTGGTTTTTGTGGCTACACTGGTTGTGTAGATACATTGGTAGATTTGCTACAGTGGTTATGGCTTCATTAGTTTTGCTATAACATGAGACCCGTTATTCTAAAATTTTTCTAGATACAACACATTGAAAATTCCATCATTATCTAAAAACATTTGCTACTACTTTGTTAGTTGACTACATACTTCCAACAGTCTGGCTTGATGAGAGGCGATGTTTATATATATATATATATATATATATATATATATATACTATTTTATATATTTATATATATATATATATATATATATATATATATATATATATATATATATATATATATATATATATATATATATATATATATATATATACTATTTAATATACGAATATTTATGTCTTGGTGCATTTCCATTGAAGGTTGGAGTGGAGCGACTACTATACTTTTTGTAGTTTTAAAGTTGGGTTTAGTGAACAAGCAAACGAACAAACAAACAAACAATCTGTCAACAACTTGCTGATTGCCGTACTTACAATTTGACTTTACTCTCAACTTGATGAAATAACGCAACAAACATCAAAACGACTGTGGTCAATTTGATTTAATCAAGAAATGATCGAACCTCGTATTTAATCCCAACCTGACAGTTGACACTGTCACTGACACTCACAGTAGCTGTCACTGACACGCTGCAATATCATCGGCGCTGACAAGTGCCACTAACAAGTGTCGTTGTCACTGACACGTGTGACACGATCAAATGATATGTTAATGAGCTGTGACCTTACAATATTATCTGACGTCACAATGAGCTGTGACCTTACAATATTATCTGACGTCACAATGAGCTGTGACCTTACAAAATTATCTGACGTCACAATGAGCTGTGACCTTACAATATTATCTGACGTCACAATGAGCTGTGACCTTACAATATTATCTGACGTCACAATGAGCTGATGTGAATACAGTCTTTAAAAGTTTTTAAATTATGCAAAATGAACATTAAAAATTTGGCGAATGAAAGTTTTGAAACCTCATATACAAAAGAATATATACAGATGACATATGTATAAATGTTTCGAAACGATTAACCATGACATGACGTTTTTCTTTCTATCAGGATGTGTTGAGGGACAGTGGCGGTAAGTGACGGCATTCACATTTTTAAATACTTCCTTCAACATACGCGAGTTCAAATTCTGGCTGGTCTGCCAAATGATTTCGATAAATAGGCACACACAATTACTACTTTATATGGGTATAGAAACATACATTCATTATATATATATATATATATATATATATATATATATATATATATATATATATATATATATATATATATATATATATATATATATATATATATATATATATGTATATACATACAAATAGTTTTTTTGCCACAAAAGGCGAACTTAAAATGAAGATCATACTTATTTGAAGTTTCAATTTAAAACTTTTTGCGATTATGCGCGTAAAATAAATACACCAAGAACTAAAAAAAAATGAATCACTCTATACAAAACATTATTTTAAGTATCAGGGATACAATATATACACATTAAAAGGACGAGAATTATTGACATTTAATTTTAACAGATGATTTGCTATTTAAATAGGTCAGGACGAGAGTGTTAAAAAGTAATATTTTCAAAGATAAAATTTTAATATTTCTGAAGCAATTATTACCTCTATTTTTAAAGGTATAATGCTTTTTAAAAGACAAAACTAAATTAAAAAAAAAAAAAAAACTTACGAAACAATAAATTATCCGGCCGGAAGTAAAAATTTTAACTCAAGTAAAATCTGCACAAAGACAAATACAGAATCCAGAAGTCGTAACTATATCTAATAGAATAAAGTCACAAGAAAATTTGTTCACTAATTTAGTATGACATTTTGTAACCCGAGGCATTTTCACATAGGTATTGATGCACGCTTGTGTTCATGTTCACATTGGTGTTCATGTTCACATTGGTGTTCATGTACACATTGGTGTTCATGTACACATTGGTGTTCATGTACACTTCGATATTGATGTACAAAATGGTGTTGTAGTACACATTGTACACGTATCACAGGAATAAATCAATTATTCTGCAAAAGTATACACAAAATGACTGAGAAAAAAAATCACAAGTAAACACAGATAAATAGTTGAACTTTAAACAAGGGTTTACTGTGGGAGGTAATTCCCCGTGAAACACTGACGCCCATAGTGTAGACAGCGAGGGAAAAGAATGGGAGTAGCAAACTTCAACAACCTCCTCCCATACAACAACCTCCTCCCATTCAACAACCTCCTCCCATTCAACCATCAACAACCTCCTCCCATACAACAACCTCCTCCCATTCAACAACCTCCTCCCATTCAACAACCTCCTCCCATTCAACCATCAACAACCTCCTCCCATTCAACAACCTCCTCCTATTCAACAACCTCCTCCCATTCAACAACCTCCTCCCATTCAACAACCTCCTCCCATTCAACAACCTCCTCCCATTCAACAACCTCCTCCCATTCAACAACCCTCCTCCCATTCAACAACCTCCTCCCATTCAACAACCTCCTCCCATTCAACAACCTCCTCCCATTCAACAACCTCCTCACATTCAACCATCAACAACCTCCTCCCATTCAACAACCTCCTCCCATTCAACAACCTCCTCCCATTCAACCATCAACAGCCTCCTCCCATTCAACAACCCCCTCCCATTCAACAACCTCCTCACATTAACCATCAACAACCTCCTCCCATTCAACAACCTCCTCCCATTCAACAACCTCCTCCCATTCAACAACCTCCTCCCATTCAACAACCTCCTCCCATTCAACAACCTCCTCCCATTCAACAACCTCCTCCCATTCAACAACCTCCTTCCATTCAACAACCTCCTCCCATTCAACCATCAACAACCTCCTCCCATTCAACAACCTCCTCCCATTCAACCATCAACAACCTCCTCCGATTCAACAACCTCCTCCGATTCAACCATCAACAACCTCCTCCCATTCAACCATCAACAACTTCCTCCCATTCAACCATCAAAAACCTCCCATTCAACAACCTCCTCCCATTCAACAACCTCCTCCCATTCAAAATTGTGTTATCAGACCACACTACAGTTATCCCCCAGTGTCTTTGACTTGTTTTATTTAACATTATTTACATCACTCTTGCTCGTGAATGGCTTTCATCGATTGGATTCTGTGTTGAGTTCATGGATGGCCAGCTGATGGCGACTTGCCAGTTCTACTGACCCGGGTTAAAGGTCGTTGGAATATTGAGCAGAGTTGCCAGGTAAAGAGGTGCGCAACATCTTCATCCGTACAGACTCCGCCCCCCTGTTGGGTGACTTCCGCTCCGTGTACGAGTTGATGGTCCGATCGTCTGAAAGAAAAAACACATTAGAGGTTTTTATCTGTTTGACAGAACCTAGCGCAATTGTAATGTTTGCGCATTTGGTTTTTTAGCGCAGGTTACTTGGTCGTTACATTTTTACTTTCTCGTATACGAAGTATAGAGGGAGTATTGTAATCGTGCAAAATAAAAAAAAATCTAGATTTTTGCAAATCACGACGTTTTATACCTCCCTGAGACGGAAAAACATATTTTTGCAATCTTGTCCGTATGTCTGTGTGTGTGTTTGTTTGTGTGAGTGTGTGTGTGTGTGTATGTGTCTGTGAACACGATAACTTGAGTACCGTTACAGCGAGGTTGATAATATTTCATATATAAGTATTATATCAAATGTGTTGTTCTGAATCAACTTTTCAGCGATTTCTGTATACAAGAAAGTAAAATATTGTCTAAATCCTGAGTTGCCAACCCCCGTAGTGTTATATAAGAATATTCGAGAAAGTTTAGGGGAGATCACTTCCGGTTTATTTTCTATTGCGCTCATTTTTTCCTCGTATACAGAGTATAGAGAAAATATTTATACTTTTTTTTTCAATCCTGTCCGTCTAAGGTTGTGTGTGTGTGTGTGTGTGTGTGTGTGTGTGTGTGTGTGTGTGTGTGAGTTTGTTTGTGTATGTTGACCAAGTTGGTAGGAGGTGATTGATTGACCAAGTTGGTGGGACGTGTTTGATTGGTTGACCAAGTTGGTAGGACGTGTTTGATTGGTTGACCAAGTTGGTAGGACGTGTTTGATTGGTTGACCAAGTTGGTAGGACGTGTTTGATTGGTTGACCAAGTTGGTAGGAGGTGTTTGATTGGTTGACCAAGTTGGTTGGTAGGAGGTGTTTGATTGGTTGATCAAGTTGGTTGGTAGGAGGTGTTTGATTGGTTGACCAAGTTGGTAGGAGGTATTTGATTGGTTGACCAAGTTGGTAGGTGGTGTTTGATTGGTTGACCAAGTTGGTATGAGGTGTTTGATTGGTTGACCAAGTTGGTAGGAGGTGTTTGATTGGTTGATCAAGTTGGTAGGAGGTGTTTGATTGGTTGACCAAGTTGGTAGGACGTGTTTGATTGGTTGACCAAGTTGGTAGGACGTGTTTGATTGGTTGACCAAGTTGGTAGGACGTGTTTGATTGGTTGACCAAGTTGGTAGGAGGTGTTTGATTGGTTGATCAAGTTGGTAGGAGGTGTTTGATTGGTTGACCAAGTTGGTAGGAGGTGTTTGATTGGTTGATCAAGTTGTAGGACGTGTTTGATTGGTTGATCAAGTTGGTAGGAGGTGTTTGATTGGTTGATCAAGTTGTAGGACGTGTTTGATTGGTTGACCAAGTTGGTAGGACGTGTTTGATTGGTTGACCAAGTTGGTAGGACGTGTTTGATTGGTTGATCAAGTTGTAGGACGTGTTTGATTGGTTGACAAGGTTTTCAGGTGTTTGACCAGCAAGCATTGTTTTCTACTCACCCACAAAGCTGTGCTTGGTTTCCTGTGACGTAGAAGACATGAACGACTTCCGGAAACGACACGCTCTGTTGCGCACGTTGCCGACAAACGGTGCCGTGGACAAGGTGTAGAGGACCGGGTTGACGGCAGAGTTCAGCGGCAAGATAAAGACGGCAATCCAGGCGTACACCTGGGGGACAAATGGAGGTAGGGACATTATGGGACAAATGGAGGTAGGGACATTATGAGCACAAATGGAGGTAGGGACATTATGAGCACAAATGGAGGTAGGGACATTAATGGGGACAAATGGAGGGCTGGGACATTATGGGGGACAAATGGAGTAGAGACATTATGAGGTCAAATGGAGGGTTGGGGAAGCATGGGAGAAATTATATGACGGATGAAGTACACCGGTTTTTTTTTTTGCGGTCAGTACTTACGTCATTGGTGGCGTTTGACACGAGACTTACGTCATTGATGGCGTTTGACGCGAGACTTACGTCATTAATGACGCGAAACTTACGTCATTGGTGGCGTTGATCCCAGCCAGGGAGACGAAGCCCAGGAAGATGATGGGCACCCAACAGGCGAAGTCCGTCATAACAATCAGCGTCATCCGCTTGGCCATGGCCGTGTCACTCTTGGTCTCAGGGGTCCTCACTGGGGGGAGAGGAGTGACGTCATAGTGGTGTGTGTAGGGGGGGGGGGCTAGGGGAACATCAAGTAACATGACAACATAGTGTTGTGGGGGGTAGGGTAGAAAAGTAAATTGACGTCATATGGTTGTGGGGAGATGGAAATAGGGGGCGGAGACTAGTGGCATGACGTCATAATATTGTGGGGAAAGGGGAGGATAACGGTGGAGGGGGAGGGGGGAAACGAATAACGTGACGTCATAGTATTGTGGAGACGGGGACATGGGAGACGTTATTGCTATATGGGTATAAAGCGTTATTCCATTTCTTGCCAAACTTGGGGGGGGGGGGGGGGGGTGGGGGGGGGTGGGGAGTAATGCGTTGTGGGTGGAGTGTGGAGGGGGGGGGCGACGGTGGGTGTCTAGTAGTGGAATTGCTCTTGGCTGAACTAAAATGTTGTTCACAGGGCGGTTCACATGGAGGTTCATAGGGTGGTTCACAACGTCAAGCCTGGCACTGCTAGTTACCTGCAGACCTGGTTTCCCTGGCAACCAGAAACATCCAGGTGTAGGACAAGGCGATGATGATGAAGGAAATGAAGTTGAGGACCAGGAACACGGCCACCGAGTACTGCCAGCCCGGGGGGTGGTCGGGGGTCACGTGCAGGGCCAGACACACCCCTGACCGGCTGTAGAAGTTCTGTGGAGACAAGGGGTGGGTGGGGGGGGGTGAGACTCGGTAACATTGGGGTCGAGAATATGTAGAGATAGAGGTGGGGGATGGGAGAGGGTATGGTGAGATCGGATGTTGTGATAAAAATAGTGTATCTACTTTGGAGAAGTAGTTGGTATTGACATTAATTAAGCAGCACAGATGAGATATTAATTAAAATGTAATTAGCGACTTACGCTGAAATAGGGGATATCCATAAGGGGGACAACCGAGATAAAAAACACAAGCACCCAGACAAAGACCATCGTGCAGGTTGCGTCCCTTACACTGAGTCGCATCATTCGTAAGGGGAAGATAATGCAGATCAAACGATCAAGGGTGATAATCGTCAGAGTTAGGACCGATAACTCTGAAAAGTTAAAAAAAAAAAAGAATTAAAAATGCCTCTGTATTTAAACAAAATTAAATTTTAAAAATGTAACTTCTGTACTGATATACACTGTACATATATAAAAAAATACATAAAAAATTATTTAATGTGCAGCCGTTCAGAAACTCACCATCTACCCAATAAGCAAACATACCACTCACCAGTTACCCACGATACAACCTACTTAAATAGCTACAAACAGACCAGCCGAAAAACCTACAGGCTAAACCAAACTCCCCCCCCCCACATAACGGCCCACACACAGACACAGAAACACAGACACAACATCCACTTATCCCAACAACTTATTAAACAACCCATAAAACAACCCATCCAACTATATACCTAACAAACCACCCAACACCCAATTTAACAACCCACCCAACAACCCACCCAACAACTTATTAAACAACCCATAAAACAACCCATCCAACTATATACCCAACAAACCACCCAACAACCAATTTAACAACCCACCCAACAACCCACCCAACAACTTATTAAACAACCCATAAAACAACCCATCCAACTATATACCCAACAAACCACCCAACAACCAATTTAACAACCCACCCAACAACCCACACAACAACCCACACAACAACCCTCTCACCCCGTGAGTTACCTGAAGAAAAGGTGGATATGAACCACGCCAACTGGCGCTACCCCTCCACCACCCCACCCCGTGAGTTACCTGAAGAAAAGGTGGATATGAACCACACCAACTGGCGCTACCCCTCCACCACTCCCACCCCGTGAGTTACCTGAAGAAAAGGTGGATATGAACCACGCCAACTGGCGCTACCCCTCCACCACCCCACCCCGTGAGTTACCTGAAGAAAAGGTGGATATGAACCACGCCAACTGGCGCTACCCCTCCACCACTCCCACCCCGTGAGTTACCTGAAGAAAAGGTGGATATGAACCACGCCAACTGGCGCTACCCCTCCACCACTCCCACCCCGTGAGTTACCTGAAGAAAAGGTGGATATGAACCACGCCAACTGGCGCTACCCCTCCACCACTCCCACCCCGTGAGTTACCTGAAGAAAAGGTGGATATGAACCACGCCAACTGGCGCTACCCCTCCACCACTCCCACCCCGTGAGTTACCTGAAGAAAAGGTGGATATGAAGCCCGCCAACTGGCACATGGCGCTACCCCTCCACCACCCCCACCCCGTGAGTTACCTGAAGAAAAGGTGGATATGAAGCCCGCCAACTGGCACATGGCGCTACCCCTCCACCACCCCCACCCCGTGAGTTACCTGAAGAAAAGGTGGATATGAACCCCGCACATGGCGCTACCCCTCCACCACCCCCACCCCGTGAGTTACCTGAAGAAAAGGTGGATATGAACCCTGCCAACTGGCACATGGCGCTACCCCTCCACCACCCCCACCCCGTGAGTTACCTGAAGAAAAGGTGGATATGAACCCTGCCAACTGGCACATGGCGCTACCCCTCCACCACTCGTCGTGTGTGACGTAGACGCCCCTGTAGAAAGAGTCCGCCACTGCTATGATCATCAGGTAGATACCCATAAGTAGGTCACCGATGGCCAGGTTCGTGATCAGGATAGAGTGGACCTGGGATAGACAGGGCATATGACAGTTGGGTGTACAAGGCATATGGGCAGTTAGGGCACTTGGGTGTACAGGGCATATGGGCACTTGGGTGCATATGGCATAAAGAAAGTTATGGCACTTATGTGCACAGGGCATAAGACAATTAGGGCTCTTGTGCGTAAAGGGTATATAGGCAGTTAGGGCACTTAGGTGTACGAGCATAAGGGGTGTTAGGGCACTTATGTGTAAAGGGCATAAGGGCAGTAAGGGCACTTATATATATATAGGGCATACGGGCATTTAGGTGTACGTGCATAAGGGCAGTTAGGGCACTTGGGAGTACATGGCATAAGGGGAATCAGAGCACTTATGTATGCAGGGCATAAGGGCAGTTAGGGCACTTGGGTGTACAGGCACAAGGACAGTTAGGGCACTTAGGTGTATGAGCATAAGGGCAGTAAGGGCACTTATGTATATAGGGCATAACGGCATTTAGGTGTACGGGCACTTGGGTGTACATGGCATAAGGGGAATTAGGGCACTTATGTATGCAAGGCATAAGGGCAGTTAGGGCACTTGGGTGTACATGGCATAAGGGCAGTTAGGGCACTTGGGTGTACATGGCATAAGGGCAGTTAGGGCACTTGGGTGTACAGGGCATAAGGGGAGTTAGGGCACTTAGGTTTACGGGTATAAGGGCAGTTAGGGCACAGGTGTACATGGCATAATGGCAGTTAGGGCATTTGGGTGTACAGGGCATAAGGGGAGTTAGGGCACTTAGGTTTACGGGTATAAGGGCAGTTAGGGCACTTAGGTGTACATGGCATAATGGCAGTTAGGGCACTTGGGTGTACAGGGCATAAGGGCAGTTAGGGCACTTATGTATACAGGCCATAAGGGCAGTTAGGGCACTTATGTATACAGGTCATAAGGGCAGTTAGGGCACTTATGTATACAGGGCATAAGAGCAGTTAGGGCACTTATGTATACAGGCCATAAGGGCAGTTAGGGCACTTATGTATACAGGCCATAAGGGCAGTTAGGGCACTTATGTATACAGGGCATACGTGCAGTTACTTGGGTGTACATGGCATAAGGGCAGTTAGTAAGTAGAGTTCAAATGTCCTAAACTCTTCCTATGGACTGGACATGGACACAGACCGAGAGCGGCCTAGTCACGTGATACCTTTCTGCCCCTCATGTCTCTGGCCCGCCACACGATGACCACGACGTTGCCGAAGAAGGCCACAGAGCCCAGCACCCAGATGGAGATCCGCAGCACGTAGTTGGCCATCAGGTCGCCGCAGGAGGAGAACTCGTCCGGCTCCGGCAAGCACCGGCTGACGGACTTGGCCATACAGCAGAACTTGAACTTGTCCGTCAGGCTGGCAAAGGGGGGTAGTTTAGGGGAGGTAAGTTGTAGGTGAATTGTTTTTAATGGGAGGTAAGCTGTTCGTGTACGGGGAGGTAAGTCATTGGCGTAATGGGAGTTTGTTGGTTTAAGGGGATGTAAGTTGTCGATGTAAGGGGAGGTAATTTATCGGCAAGGGGATGTAAGTTGTCGGTTTAAGGGGAAGTAATTTTTAAGTGTCAGATGATGTAATTTGTCGAGTAATATGTCGGTGTAAGGGGATATAAGTTGTCCATGTAAGGGGAGGTAATTTGTCGGTGTAAGGGGATGTAAGTTTTCGATGTAAGGGGAGGTAATTTGTCGATGTAAGGGGAGGCAGTGTGTTGGTTTCAAGTGGGGTAATCTGTTAGTATAAGGGCTGGTAAGATGTTGGTGTAAGGTGGTGGTGGGGTTAGCTTCCTAGTGCATCTACGTTGATAGTTATAATACAAGTTGAAATTTATTTCCCTCTATTTCCAAACCACGTTTTAGATTTTAAATGTACGCTAAAGAATCACTAATGCTGTTGGTCAAATTCTACACAGTAGTAATACGAATACATTTAAAAAAAGAATTTCGATAGACATGAAACTTTAATTGACACGCTGATCTTTAAAATAAAACGTCCATCGGAAAATTCAATTGGTCTAAAAATAGACTGCTTGTACTTACAGGTGCTCCAGATGTGGCAGACCGTAAAACACGCGCCAACCAATCGTGTGGATTCTATTTTTAGACAAATCCCTATAGGAAAAGTAATTTAATTAAAAATTTGGGTTTAAAAAAACTTATTTTGGAACATGCGAACTTTTAATTGAAATGTAAACTTTTCTAATTTTTGGATTTTGACAAAACATAATGTTGAACAAATTGCTACCTACCCACGATAAAAACAGCTAACATTTTGATAAACTACTTACAGTGTTAACAAGTTGTTCAGCGTGACGAAGGCGCCATCTTGGATCTCCACAATCCTATTGGCACTCAAATTTCTGAGGAATTTTTTTTTCATCAAATTTAAATCTTTATATCTCAAAGTTTATTGTGTATTTAAAATTGTATTTGGTATTTTGTAGTTTAAGAGACAATTTTAAAAATTGTCTGTTTTCTTAAACAGTGTGTGAGTGTGTTTGCGTGTACGTGTGTTTATGCTTGTGCGTGAGTGATTTTGTACATGTGTGGGTGTGTAGTGTATGTATGTGTACGTGTGAATATGTGTATATGTGTGTATGTGTTCGGGTCTGAATGTCTATTTGTGTATATATGTGTTTATGAGTACATGTATATATGTGTATGTATGTCTGCGAGTCATCTACTGCCAGGCGTTACTCACAGAAGTCGCAGAGAGTGAAGTCCAGTAAACAAATTTGGGCCGATTCTGGTCAAGTTCTGGTAGCTTAGGTCACTGGAATAAAACAAATCATGTAGCAATCATCTGCTAAATCAAACATCACACAAACACCTGCTAAATAAAAAATTACTCACAAACGCCTGCTAAATCAAACACAGTAGCGTAGCGAGGGGGGGGCGGGGGGGGGGGGACATATGTCCCCGGGCGCCGAGCTCAGGAGGCGCCAAAATGGGTTGGAAAAATAAATTGAAAGGTTGAGGGGGGTGCAAATTGAAAGTTTGAGGGGGGGGGGGGTGCAAATCAAAATCTCGAGGGGGGGCTGCAAATCGAAAGTTTGAGGGGGGGGGGGGTACAAATCGAAATCTCGAGGGGGGGGGGTGCAAATCGAAAAGTTTGTCCCCGGGCGCCGGGAAGGGTCGCTACGCCTCTGATCAAACACCACTCACGTTAAACACTTTCTACCTTAACACACACGTTATACACGTGTACTGAATGAATACCAAATATGGTTTCAACCTTTTAGCTATTAACCCCACCATAGATTTATTCAGCCACCATACCCTGGCTTCAGCCATACTAGTGATGTTGTCGAGGAAAATAAGTGTAGCCTAGAAAACATCCTTTCTTTTGTTGTTGAACAATCACCTTATGAGGCTTAAGATTTGTTTTAATATTTCTAAAGTTATTAGGGCTTGTAAGTAGGTCAATAACTTCTTGTTTTCGTACTTGCCAGCTAGTATTTTTATAAAAACCAAATGTGAATATTTTTTTAAATAGTATAAAAATAGCTAAATTTTTTTACTTCCGATATTATTAGTTAATCTAACATCGTAAACGCTGATAATAATGACTAAAAGATGTAGGCTAGCTTAAAGAAACATATAGCCTATGTTAAATTTTGATTTTTCTGTAAAATAGCGTACATTCTGTTATCATGTATTTAGGTTATCCTAAATGTTGTTACAATTGAATATAATATTATTAATAGACTTGACTATTAATTTGTTTCTATTATTATAAATTTTTTAAAAAGTGTTGCATTTTGTGTACTCTTGATATCTCAATATCTCAAGGGCGAAGCCTAAAAACAAATAACCGCCTTGAATTTTGTTTTTATAGGTGTCATGTTCACAACAATTAATTTTAGCTTGAAAATGTATATTTCTCCCTGGCCAACCAGAATTCTAATTTTAAGCGAGAGAGACCGAGACTTACAAGCCCCATTGGGGTTAGTCTGATGTCTAAACGTACTTTCACTGTAACGGGGTTTACGTTTGAAAACATTCGGCGCTGATCATATCGCCAATGAAAAAATTAACCAGACAATTACCACACTACTGCAGAAAAACTGTCTCAACCTACTGCCTTAAACCTACTTAAACCTACTAAACACAAACTTACAGAACTGTCAGTTTTTTCATGTAAATAAAGGAGGTCTCGTCGATGTGGCGTATCTGGTTGCCATGGAGATATCTGAAATTCAGGAACAAGTTAGAGCCCTTGTGGTTGGTATATTTTTCAAATTAAAATGTGTGGGATCATATAATCTGTGGGGTCATATACGGGGTCATATGTGGGGTAATATACGTGGTCATTTATGGGGTCATTTATAGGGTATTTATGGGGTCATTTATGGGGTCATATATGAGGTCATAAAGTAAATCTTAGCTGCTATTATTGACACAAGATTGTACATACATACACACATACCCGTAAAAATATGTATATTAACAACCCCACTCACACGCAATTTCATACACGCTTACACACACTTGCACACATACACACTCGCACACCGTTACACACTTACAAACACATTACATACACTCTAGCCCTTACGCTCACTCACTGACACAAACTCTCACACATATCGACACACACACACACACACACACTGCCAAACACACTAACACTGACCCACACACCCACACACCCACACATACAACTCACAGTTGAGAGACAGATACCAGGCCTGTAAAGGACGTGTTCCAGATCTCGGTGATGACGTTGTTTGCCAGATTTCTGTACAAGTCAAGTTTAAAAAAAAAATTATGTCAAAATTATTTGTTTATATTGTAAGTACGTTTTATTTACCGTTGATTCATTCATGTAACCAATATTTGACGAGTTATTCGACGCAACACAAAAACATATGGTGTATGTGTTTGATGTTAACGCACACACCCAAGACATGTAATGTGAAGGGACACAACCAAGACTTAAGTCATAAATTTAATGTTAGGGACACAACCAAGACTTAAGTCATAAATTTAATGTGAAGGAACACAACCAAGACTTAAGTCATAAATTTAATGTTAGGGACACAACCAAGACTTAAGTCATAAATTTAATGTTAGGGACACAACCAAGACTTAAGTCATAAATATAATGTTAGGGGCACAACCAAGACTTAAGTCATAAATTTAATGTTAGGGACACAACCAAGACTTAAGTCATAAATTTAATGTTAGGGACACAACCAAGACTTAAGTCATAAATTTAATGTTAGGGACACAACCAAGACTTAAGTCATAAATTTAATGTGAAGGGACACAACCAAGACTTAAGTCATAAATTTAATGTTAGGGCACAACCAAGACTTAAGTCATAAATTTAATGTTAGGGGCACAACCAAGACTTAAGTCATAAATTTAATGTTAGGGACACAACCAAGACTTAAGTCATAAATTTAATGTTAGGGACACAACCAAGACTTAAGTCATAAATTTAATGTGAAGGGACACAACCAAGACTTAAGTCATAAATTTAATGTTAGGGACACAACCAAGACTTAAGTCATAAATTTAATGTGAAGGGACACAACCAAGACTTAAGTCATAAATTTAATGTGAAGGGACACAACCAAGACTTAAGTCATAAATTTAATGTTAGGGACACAACCAAGACTTAAGTCATAAATTTAATGTTAGGGACACAACCAAGACTTAAGTCATAAATTTAATGTTAGGGACACAACCAAGACTTAAGTCATAAATTTAATGTTCGGGACACAACCAAGACTTAAGTCATAAATTTAATGTTAGGGGCACAACCAAGACTTAAGTCATAAATTTAATGTGAAGGAACACAACCAAGACTTAAGTCATAAATTTAATGTTAGGGACACAACCAAGACTTAAGTCATAAATTTAATGTTAGGGACACAACCAAGACTTAAGTCATAAATATAATGTTAGGGGCACAACCAAGACTTAAGTCATAAATTTAATGTTAGGGACACAACCAAGACTTAAGTCATAAATTTAATGTTAGGGACACAACCAAGACTTAAGTCATAAATTTAATGTTAGGGACACAACCAAGACTTAAGTCATAAATTTAATGTGAAGGGACACAACCAAGACTTAAGTCATAAATTTAATGTTAGGGCACAACCAAGACTTAAGTCATAAATTTAATGTTAGGGGCACAACCAAGACTTAAGTCATAAATTTAATGTTAGGGACACAACCAAGACTTAAGTCATAAATTTAATGTTAGGGACACAACCAAGACTTAAGTCATAAATTTAATGTGAAGGGACACAACCAAGACTTAAGTCATAAATTTAATGTTAGGGACACAACCAAGACTTAAGTCATAAATTTAATGTGAAGGGACACAACCAAGACTTAAGTCATAAATTTAATGTGAAGGGACACAACCAAGACTTAAGTCATAAATTTAATGTTAGGGACACAACCAAGACAAGTCATAAATTTAATGTTAGGGACACAACCAAGACTTAAGTCATAAATTTAATGTTAGTGGCACAACCCAAACACAGAAGCCATGTACTTTTTTTTATTTTAAAAGGGCTTAACCAAACGACACAAATCTAGTATTATTTTGTGAATGTACAGAACCCACACAAAAAATTCACGAAACAACAGTTACATATTTATGGCAAAGGGAGACAACCAAGAAATAAAAGTTAGGGACTTAAGTTAAAGGGACCTAACCTAGGTACTTACAGATTCTGAAGTCTCCACATCTCGGCGAAAATGTTGTGAGGGATGCGAGAAATCTCGTTGTTACTCAGGTCCCTGCGGTTAAGACCAGAGAGTAAAGTTATGCGAATGGGATGTGTATGTAGACGTGTATTGTTATGTTTATAGGGAGCCTTACAGAAGAGCTGTAGAGAGCTGTAGAGAGAGAGAGATGTAGAGAGAGAAAGCTGTAGAGAGCTATAGAGAGAGGCATGTAGAGAGATGTAGAGAGCTATGGAGAGAGAGCTGTAGAGAGAGAGAGAGTTGTAGAGAGCCGTAGAGAGCCGTAGAGAGCTGTAGAGAAAATGCTGTAGAGAGTGGTAGAGAGCTGTAGAGAGCTGTAGAGAGAGCCATAGAGAGCCGTAGAGAGCCAAAGAGAGCTGCAGAGAGCTGTAGAGAGAGCTGTAGAGAGCCGTAGAGAGCCGTAGATGCCGTAGAGAGCTGTAGAGAGCCGTAGAGAGCTGTAGAGAGCCGTAGAGAGCCGTAGAGAGCTGTAGAGAGAGCCATAGAGAGCCGTAGAGAGCCAAAGAGAGCTGCAGAGAGCTGTAGAGAGAGCTGTAGAGAGAGCCGTAGAGAGAGAGCTGTAGAGAGAGCTGTAGAGAGAGCTGTAGAGAGAGAGAGAGCTGTAGAGAGAGCTGTAGAGAGAGAGAGAGCTGTAGAGAGAGCTGTAGAGAGAGAGAGAGCTGTAGAGAGAGAGAGAGAGCTGTAGAGAGAGAGAGCTGTAGAGAGAGAGCTGTAGAGAGAGCTGTAGAGAGAGCTGTAGAGAGAGCTGTAGAGAGAGCTGTAGAGAGAGCTGTAGAGAGAGAGAGAGAGAGCTGTAGAGAGAGAGAGCTGTAGAGAGAGCTGTAGAGAGAGAGAGAGAGCTGTAGAGAGAGCTGTAGAGAGAGCTGTAGAGAGAGCTGTAGAGAGAGCTGTAGAGAGAGAGAGAGCTGTAGAGCGAGAGAGAGCTGTAGACAGCTATAGAGAGAGAGAGCTGTAGAGAGCTGTAGAGAGCCGTAGACAGCTATAAAGAGAGAGAGAGAGCTGTATAGAGATGAAGAGAGAGAGAGAGCTGTAGAGAGAGAGCTGTAGAGAGAGCTGTAGAGAGAGCCGTAGAGAGAGAGAGCTGTAGAGAGAGAGCTGTAGAGAGAGCTGTAGAGAGAGCTGTAGAGAGAGCTGTAGAGAGCCGTAGACAGCTATAAAGAGAGAGAGAGAGAGCTGTATAGAGATGAAGAGAGAGAGAGAGATTTGTAGACATAGTAGTAGAGATCTGTAGAGAGAGCTGTAGAGAGCTGTAGAGAGCCGTAGAGAGCCGTAGAGAGCTGTAGAGAGCTGTAGAGAGCGTAGAGAGCAGTAGAGAGCCGTAGAGAGAGATGTAGAGAGAGCAGTAGAGAGCCGTAGGGAGCCGTAGAGAGCTGATGAGAGCCATAGAGAGCCGTAGAGAGCCGTAGAGAGCACTAGAGAGAGATGTAGAGAGAGCTGTAGAGAGCAGTAGAGAGCCGTAGATAGCCGTAGAGAGAGATGTAGAGAGAGAGCTGTAGAGAGCCGTAGAGAACTGTAGAGAGCTATAGAGAGCCGTAGAGAACCGTAGAGAGCCGTAGAAAGAGATGTAGAGAGAGCAGTAGAGAGCCGTAGAGAGACGTAGAGAGCCGTAGAGAGCCGTAGAGATCTGTAGATAGCTGTAGAGAGCCGTAGAGAGCCGTAGAGAGCCGTAGAGAGAGATGTAGAGAGAGCTGTAGATAGCTGTAGAGAGCTGATGAGAGACGTAGATAGCCGTAGAGAGAGATGTAGAGAGAGCTGTTAATAGCTGTAGAGAGCCGTAGAGAGCCGTAGAGAGCCGTAGAGAGAGATGTAGAGAGAGCAGTAGAGAGCCGTAGAGAGCCGTAGAGAGCTGTAGAGAGCTGTAGAGAGCCGTAGAGAGCCGTAGTGAGCCGTAGAGAGATGTAGAGAGAGCAGTAGAGAGCCGTAGAGAGCCGTAGAGAGCCGTAGAGAGCCGTAGAGAGATGTAGAGAGAGCAGTAGAGAGCCTTAGAGAGCCTTAGAGAGCCGTAGAGAGATGTAGAGAGCCGTAGAGAGCCGTAGAGAGCTGTAGAGAGCCATAGAGAGCCGTAGAGAGCTGTAGAGAGATGTAGAGAGCCGTAGAGAGCTGTAGAAAGAGCCGTAGAGAGCTGTAGAGAGCCGTAGAGAGCTGTAGAGAGCCGTAGAGAGCCGTAGTGAGCCGTAGAGAGAGATGTAGAGAGAGCAGTAGAGAGCCGTAGAGAGCCGTAGAGAGCCGTAGAGAGAGATGTAGAGAGAGCAGTAGAGAGCCGTAGAGAGCCGTAGAGAGCTGTAGAGAGCTGTAGAGAGCCGTAGAGAGCCGTAGTGAGCCGTAGAGAGATGTAGAGAGAGCAGTAGAGAGCCGTAGAGAGCCGTAGAGAGCCGTAGAGAGATGTAGAGAGAGCAGTAGAGAGCCTTAGAGAGCCGTAGAGAGCCGTAGAGAGCCGTGTAGAGAGCCGTAGAGAGCCGTAGAGAGAGATGCAGAGAGAGCCGTAGAGAGCCGTAGAGAGCCGTAGAGAGCCGTATACTAACAGAGACAAGATCTGGCCCGCCATGGACAGGTAGTCGGCCAGGTTTTTAAACGGCTGCCGGAAGCTTGACTCGTTGAACGACCGTCCGATGACGTTGTTCTGGTAGAACCTGAGGAGACACGGGAGTCACGTGACACGGTCCTTGTACGCCATTGGTGGAAATTGTGTGCAGGCAAGGTGTGTGGTGTAGATGTAGTGGCACTAATGTAGGTAGTGGCACTAATGTAGGTAGTGTCACTAATGTAGGTAGTGGCACTAATCTAGGTAGTGGTACTAATCTAGGTAGTGGCACTAATGTAGGTAGTGGCACTAATCTAGATAGTGGCACTAATCTAGATAGTGGCACTAATCTAGGTCGTGGCACTAATCTAGGTAGTGGCACTATGGCACTAATCTAGTTAGTGGCACTAATCTAGGTAGTGGCACTATGGCACTAATCTAGGTAGTGGCACTAATCTAGGTAGTGGCTCTAATCTAGGTAGTGGCACTAATCTAGGTAGTGGCACTATGGCACTAATCTAGGTAGTGGCACTAATCTAGGTAGTGGCACTAATCTAGGTAGTGGCACTAATCTAGGTAGTGGCACTAATCTAGGTAGTGGCACAAATCTAGGTAGTGGCACTATATGATTATGTAACCAAAAACAAGAAATGCTCTTTATATATTACACGTTGTATAACATGCAATACACAGTAGGCTACACATCACAACTTACACACACACCGTCCTCTACACACTACACATCACAACTTACACACACACCGTCCTCTACACACTACACATCACAACTTACACACACACCGTCCTCTACACACTACACATCACAAGTTACACACACACCGTCCTCTACACACTACACATCACAACTTACACACACACCGTCCTCTACACACTACACATCACAAGTTACACACCTCCCTCTACACAACTCAATTCACGTTAGATTTCTTCCTAAAATAATCGATAAAGTGACTTGTAAGTCAAATGCAATCACCTCACACATCAAATGTCATATCAACCTCACACATCAAATGTCATATCAACCTCACACATCAAATGTCACATCCACCTCACACATCCACCTCACACATCAAATGTCACATCCACCTGACACATCAAATGTCACATCTACTCACTCATCAAACCCCCCCCGCCCCCACACACCACCCAACATTCGCAAATCTCTTGACCCATGCACGAGGAAGTGACGTCAAAATTTACCTACAACTTGTATAGACGCTCCTGGTTGCCAGGGACGACAAGTGCTGACAGCTGTCTGTCATTGCATGACATGTCGTGATGTTCACACGAACACTTCTCCTGCTGGTAGGGGCACTTGTATGCTGCAACACCAGACATCCATACTTACACGTATTTAACCTAATATACATACATCTTTAACCACTAAATCCCATATCACCGCTAACCTATTGTCTTTGTTTTAGCATTTATCCAGAGGCGTAGCGACCTTTCCCGGCGCCCGGAAACAAACTTTCGATTTGCAGCTCTCCCTCAAGATTTCGATTTGCACCCCCCCCCCCCCCTGGATTTCGATTTGCACCCCCCCCCTCAAACTTTCGATTTGCAGCTCCCCCTCAAACTTTCGATTTGCACCCCCCCCCCTCAGGATTTCGATTTGCACCCCCCTCATGATATTTATTTGCACCCCCCTCAAGCTTTCAATTTATTTTTCCAACCTATTTTGGCGCCCCCTAAAGTCTGCGCCCGGGAACATATGACCCCCCCCCCCCCCCGCCCCCCCCCCCTCGCTACGCCTCTGCATTTATCACAGGTAGCCTGATAGATCTATGCCTGTGGAGTTCAAGTTTAGAAGTGAGGAACTACAAAAGACCAAGTCTAGAAGTGAGGAACTACAAAAAACCAAGTCTAGGAGCGAGGAACTACAAAAGACCAAGTCTAGAAGTGAGGAACTACAAAAGACCAAGTCTAGAAGTGAGGAACTACAAAAGACCATGTCTAGAAGTGAGGAACTACAAAAGACCAAGTCTAGAAGTGAGGAACTACAGAAGACCAAGTCTAGGAGTGAGGAACTACAAAAAACCAAGTCTAGAAGTGAGGAACTACAAAAGACCAAGTCTAGAAGTGAGGAACTACAGAAGACCAAGTCTAGAAGTGAGGAACTACAGAAGACCAAGTCTAGAAGTGAGGAACTACAAAAGACCAAGTCTAGAAGTGAGGAACTACAAAAGACCAAGTCAAGTCTAGAAGTGAGGAACTACAAAAGACCAAGTCTAGAAGTGAGGAACTACAAAAGACCAAGTCTAGAAGTGAGGAACTACAAAAGACCATGTCTAGAAGTGAGGAACTACAAAAGACCAAGTCAAGTCTAGAAGTGAGGAACTACAAAAGACCAAGTCTAGAAGTGAGGAACTACAAAAGACCAAGTCTAGAAGTGAGGAACTACAGAAGACCAAGTCTAGGAGTGAGGAACTACAAAAAACCAAGTCTAGAAGTGAGGAACTACAAAAGACCAAGCCTAGAAGTGAGGAACTACAGAAGACCAAGTCTAGAAGTGAGGAACTACAGAAGACCAAGTCTAGAAGTGAGGAACTACAAAAGACCAAGTCTAGAAGTGAGGAACTACAAAAGACCAAGTCAAGTCTAGAAGTGAGGAACTACAAAAGACCAAGTCTAGAAGTGAGGAACTACAAAAGACCAAGTCTAGAAGTGAGGAACTACAAAAGACCATGTCTAGAAGTGAGGAACTACAAAAGACCAAGTCAAGTCTAGAAGTGAGGAACTACAAAAGACCAAGTCTAGAAGTGAGGAACTACAGAAGACCAAGTCTAGGAGTGAGGAACTACAAAAAACCAAGTCTAGAAGTGAGGAACTACAAAAGACCAAGTCTAGAAGTGAGGAACTACAAAAGACCAAGTCTAGAAGTGAGGAACTACAGAAGACCAAGTCTAGAAGTGAGGAACTACAGAAGACCAAGTCTAGAAGTGAGGAACTACAAAAGACCAAGTCTAGAAGTGAGGAACTACAAAAGACCAAGTCAAGTCTAGAAGTGAGGAACTACAAAAGACCAAGTCTAGAAGTGAGGAACTACAAAAGACCAAGTCTAGAAGTGAGGAACTACAAAAAACCAAGTCCTAAAGTGAGGAACTACAAAAGACCAAGTCTAGAAGTGAGGAACTACAAAAGACCAAGTATAAAAGTGAGGAACTACAAAAGACCAAGTCTTGAAGTGAGGAACTACAAAAAACCAAGTCTATGAGTGAGGAACTACAAAAGACCAAGTCTAGAAGTGAGGAACTACAAAAAACCAAGTCTAGGAGCGAGGAACTACAAAAGACCAAGTCTAGAAGTGAGGAACTACAAAAGACCAAGTCTAGAAGTGAGGAACTACAAAAGACCATGTCTAGAAGTGAGGAACTACAAAAGACCAAGTCTAGAAGTGAGGAACTACAGAAGACCAAGTCTAGGAGTGAGGAACTACAAAAAACCAAGTCTAGAAGTGAGGAACTACAAAAGACCAAGTCTAGAAGTGAGGAACTACAGAAGACCAAGTCTAGAAGTGAGGAACTACAGAAGACCAAGTCTAGAAGTGAGGAACTACAAAAGACCAAGTCTAGAAGTGAGGAACTACAAAAGACCAAGTCAAGTCTAGAAGTGAGGAACTACAAAAGACCAAGTCTAGAAGTGAGGAACTACAAAAGACCAAGTCTAGAAGTGAGGAACTACAAAAGACCATGTCTAGAAGTGAGGAACTACAAAAGACCAAGTCAAGTCTAGAAGTGAGGAACTACAAAAGACCAAGTCTAGAAGTGAGGAACTACAGAAGACCAAGTCTAGGAGTGAGGAACTACAAAAAACCAAGTCTAGAAGTGAGGAACTACAAAAGACCAAGCCTAGAAGTGAGGAACTACAGAAGACCAAGTCTAGAAGTGAGGAACTACAGAAGACCAAGTCTAGAAGTGAGGAACTACAAAAGACCAAGTCTAGAAGTGAGGAACTACAAAAGACCAAGTCAAGTCTAGAAGTGAGGAACTACAAAAGACCAAGTCTAGAAGTGAGGAACTACAAAAGACCAAGTCTAGAAGTGAGGAACTACAAAAGACCATGTCTAGAAGTGAGGAACTACAAAAGACCAAGTCAAGTCTAGAAGTGAGGAACTACAAAAGACCAAGTCTAGAAGTGAGGAACTACAGAAGACCAAGTCTAGGAGTGAGGAACTACAAAAAACCAAGTCTAGAAGTGAGGAACTACAAAAGACCAAGTCTAGAAGTGAGGAACTACAAAAGACCAAGTCTAGAAGTGAGGAACTACAGAAGACCAAGTCTAGAAGTGAGGAACTACAGAAGACCAAGTCTAGAAGTGAGGAACTACAAAAGACCAAGTCTAGAAGTGAGGAACTACAAAAGACCAAGTCAAGTCTAGAAGTGAGGAACTACAAAAGACCAAGTCTAGAAGTGAGGAACTACAAAAGACCAAGTCTAGAAGTGAGGAACTACAAAAAACCAAGTCCTAAAGTGAGGAACTACAAAAGACCAAGTCTAGAAGTGAGGAACTACAAAAGACCAAGTATAAAAGTGAGGAACTACAAAAGACCAAGTCTTGAAGTGAGGAACTACAAAAAACCAAGTCTATGAGTGAGGAACTACAAAAGACCAAGTCTAGAAGTGAGGAACTACAAAAAACCAAGTCTAGGAGCGAGGAACTACAAAAGACCAAGTCTTGAAGTGAGGAACTACAAAAAACCAAGTCTATGAGTGAGGAACTACAAAAGACCAAGTCTAGAAGTGAGGAACTACAAAAAAACCAAGTCTAGGAGCGAGGAACTACAAAAGACCAAGTCTAGAAGTGAGGAACTACAAAAGACCAAGTCTAGAAGTGAGGAACTACAAAAGACCAAGTCTAAAAGTGAGGAACTACAAAAGACCAAATCTAGAAGTGAGGAACTACAAAAGACCAAGTCTAAAAGTGAGGAACTACAAAAGACCAAGTCTAGAAGTGAGGAACTACAAAAGACTTACAGCACGAGTTCTCGTCATCAAAGCTGAGCAGACAGTCGTACTCTTCATTGCACAGGTCCTCTTGGTCGACGCAGACGCTGCGTGAACATTTGAACTGGCCGGGCTGGCAGGTGTGGTGAGCTGGGGAGTGGGCAGGTGACAGGTGGGGTGTAGGCTGGTGGCAGGTGGGGTGTGTGTGAGGTGACAGGTTGGGTATGAGTAGGTGGCAGGTGACAGGTGGGGTGTGTGAGGGTGACAGGTTGGGTATGAGTAGGTGGCAGGTGACAGGTGGGGTGTGTGAGGGTGACAGGTGGGGTGTGTGAGTGTGACAGGTGGGGTGTGTGAGGGTGACAGGTTGGGTATGAGTAGGTGGCAGGTGACAGGTGGGGTGTGTGAGGGTGACAGGTGGGGTGTGTGAGGGTGACAGGTTGGGTATGAGTAGGTGGCAGGTGACAGGTGGGGTGTGTGAGGGTGACAGGTGGGGTGTGTGAGGGTGACAGGTTGGGTATGAGTAGGTGGCAGGTGACAGGTGGGGTGTGTGAGTGTGACAGGTGGGGTATGAAAAGGTGACAGGTGGGGTGTGTGAGGGTGACAGGTTGGGTATGAGTAGGTGGCAGGTGACAGGTGGGGTGTGTGAGTGTGACAGGTGGGGTATGAAAAGGTGACAGGTGGGGTGTGTGAGGGTGACAGGTTGGGTATGAGCAGGTGGCAGGTGACAGGTGGGTGTGTGAGGGTGACAGGTGGGGTGTGTGAGTGTGACAGGTGGAGTATGAAAAGGTGACAGGTAAGGTATGGAAAGGTGACAGGTGGGGTGTGTGGGGGTGACAGGTGGGGTGTGTGAGGGTGACAGGTTGGGTATGAGCAGGTGAGGCGTGTGCTGGTGACAGGTGAGGTGTGTGTAGGTGGCAGGTGGGGTTTTTGCAGGTGACAGGTGGGGTTTTTGCAGGTGACAGGTGGGGTGTGTAAGGGTGACAGTTGGGGGTGTGTGAGGGTGACAGGTGAGGTATGTACAGGTAACAGGTGGGGTATGTGCAGGTGGGGTATGTGCAGGTGGCAGGTGACAGGTGGGTGTGTGTGAAGGTGACAGGTGAGGTATGTGCAGGTGGGGTATGTGCAGGTGGCAGGTGACAGGTGAGGTATGTGCAGGTGACAGGTGGGGTATGTGTTGGTGACAGGTGAGACGTGTGACAGTCAGGTAAAACGAAAAGACAGCCAAACTTTAAACCACTATCCTGTCCACAACCCATCTCTATAAACCACGTGACACCCGCCATCTTGCAGATACTCACTGCAGTTGATCAGGTGCGACTGGTCCTTGCAGCCTTGACCTTTGCCCCGACCCCCGTTGTAGCACTGCATCGCCAGGGGAACACACTCGCCGTTGGAGCAGGTGTACTCATCCTCTCGGCACTTCCGGTATACTGGGGGTCACCGGATGGTAAACGTTATCGCGGGTGAGTGGATAGGATTGTGTGTGATTGTGATTGTGTGAGATTGTGTATGACTGTGTGCCATCCATCCATCCATCAGTCCACTCACCCATCTACCCACTGATCCACCCACCTACCGATCCACCCATCCATCCTCCCTCCCACCCATCCATCCACCAACCATCCATCAACAAATCCAGACATCCACCCACCCATACACCCACCCATCCACCCACCCACCCATCTACCTATCCATCCATCCACCCATCCACCAACCCATCCATCCACTCACCCATCCATCCACCCATACATCCAGACATCCACCCATCCACCCACCCACTCACCAACCCACCCATCCATCCATTCATCAATCCAGACATCCACCCACCCACTCACCCACCCACCCATCCATCCAACCATCCAGACATCCAACCATCCACCCACCCACACATTCACCCACCAATTCACTCACCCACCCACCCATCCATCCAACCATCCAGACATCCACCCATCCACCCACCCACTCACCAACCCACCCATCCATCCATTCACCAATCCAGACATCCACCCGTCCACCCACCCACTCACCCACCCACCCACACATTCACCCACCAATTCACTCACCCACCTTCCACACATCCTCACCAGAGTTTCTTCCAGGCATCTCTTCGGGGAGGGGGGGCGAAATGAAATTTATATAATTTATATAGAAAATATATACTTTTAACAGTGTCCGCCCCCCCCCCCCCCGAAGAAAGTTTACCGCCCCCCCCCCCCCCCCCCCGAAGATTTCAAGTGCCCCCCCGGAGAAAAAAGTCTGGAAGAAACACTGATCCTCGCACCCACCCACCCACCCATTAAGCCACCCACCAACCCACCCACCCACCACCCACCCACCCACCTACCACAATTCTTCTCGTCCGAGCTGTCAGGACACTGGTACCAGTGGTCGCACCACTGACCCTCTGGAATACAGTGACCACTGGCACATTGGCGCTTCCCTGCAGGGCAGGTGTGGTTTTCTGCAACAGGTGAGATAACTTAAAAGACCTCTAATTACCTGGGTTGGGGGCTTGTGTTTAAACATAACCTTTTAAATGTAACATATATTGTTAACTTGGGAATGAAAAACACACTAAAACTTAACCTTAATGACAAACTAAACCTTAAGCTTAAGGGTAAACTAAACCTTAGCCTAAACGACAAACTATACCTTTTAACCTAAATCCCAAGCTAAACTTAAACCTAAACCCCAAACTAAACCTATACCTACACCCAAAACTAAACCTAAATCTACACCCCTAATTAAACCTTTACCTAAACGACAAACTAAAACAAATACCTAAACCCCAAACTAAATTTAACCTAAACCCCAAAATAAACGTAAACCTAAACCCCAAACTAAACCTAAACCCCAAACTAAACCTAAACCTAAACCCCAAACTAGACCTTAACCTAAACGAAAAACTAAACCTTAACCTCAACGAAAAAAAAAACTAAACCTAAAGGACAACCTAAACCTAAACCACAAACGAAACCTAAACCTACAACCCAAACTATACCTAAACCTAAACGACAACCTAAACCTAAACCTAAACTTACGACAATTTTTCTCATCCGACCAGTCGCTGCAGTCACTGACCGTGTCACACACCTGGCTCACGTGGACACACCCCCTGTGCTCACACTCAAACTCGTCTGCTCTGCATTGGGTCTTGTTGGCTGTGGGCAGAGGGGAGGGTTGGGGGGGGGTGGAGGGGGGTGGGGGAGTGCGACATAATGTAGTTGTGTAATAGTAAGCATTAAGTAAATCAGACCGCGTGGTAGAGAGCTGGACTGCTCACACGTAAGTCGAGTTCGAATCCGGGTCCACCTCAGTGGACCGACCCTGAGTCTACCCAGCTCTGATGGGTACCTAACTCACGCTAGGGACAGCAAAGGCGGCTGGGCATAGTGCTGACCACACCATTCTTTCATATGGTGAAGTCTCTGAATCAGATGAACTTCACTTCATCTGCCCCGTGTGTCTTGTCGGAAACGATCAAGCATTAATTGCCATACTTCATTATATAATCATTAAATGATGATGTCTCAACAATAAAATAAAAAGTGAACATAAAATATATGAGCGACGCTCTAGAAATCCAAATCTATTTGTTCAATCTTATAAAGATTAATATTTTGCATATAGTGAAAATAAAATCGTTCAATGAAATAAGGACAAATTGCATTCTTACAATCAAAAACGAAAATCCAATGTATGCCGGCAGAAAAAAAAAGTAATTTGATCGACAACCAGAAATTATGTTTAAAAATTGATAGTTCTCTTGCACTAGGCGCTAGATAGAACAAACTCAATTTAGACATTTAAAAAAAAATCCGGGGCGATAATCAGCGTTGCCTTTGTTCTGTTTATTTTATCTGTTATTTCCCCTGATAAAATGTTTTTGTTATTTTGCTGCGACCTGTATTAAATGTTTTGTAAAATGTTATTAACGTGGAAACACACAATTGTATTAACTGAATTGTGAAGATTGATTAAAACGGAATCTAATAAAATATAAAAAATAAAAATTATAATAATAAAAACTAGAAGAATAATAAATAATAATAATATAATTAAAAATAATAGATATAATAATAATAGATGTAATAATAATAGATGTAATAATAATAATAATAATAATAATAATAATAATAATAATAATAATAATAATAATAATAATAATAATAATAATAATAATAATAATAATAATAATAATAATAATAATAATAATAATAATAATAATAATAATAATAATAATAATAATATTTATAATAAAAAATCTCACTGACAGAAACTGACTCTTAAACTGATTTCCATAATACTAATCGCAATCATCTAATTACCGCAGACCACCATTAAAGACAACGAGAAGCGATCACTTACAGCAGTTAAGCTCGTCCTCCCCGTTCAGACAGTCCTGGAACTTGTCACACACGGTCTGTTTAGGCAGACACCTACCCTCGGGGCAGAAGAAGTTGCCCACCCCGCAGCTGGACTCTTGAACATCTGGAACATCTTGCATGGGTGAGTGGGTCTCGGTTAAGTAGAGATGGTGGTGGGTTGGATGGCGTGATCATACATTCATGATGGCGTGATGGCGTGGTCAAACATTCATGATGGCGTGGTCATACATTCATGATGGCGTGGTCATACATTCATGATTGCGTGATCATACATTCATTTCAGTCTCAACGTACTCCACCTTTCAACCACCTTCACGCCCCATCACCCTTATTCTCACCCCACCTCATACCCATCCCCTCCTCCGAACCCACCTCACGTCCACCCCCATATCTCCCCCACCTTACCCACCTCTCCCCTCATCATCCTCATCCCAACACCTCACCACTACCCACCCCTCTAACCACCCCACCCCACCCTACCACCCCATCCATGACGTCACTTCCTGCCGACACTCACCACAGAGCAGCTCATCCGTCCCGTTCTTGCCGTCCCGACAGTCGTTGACGCCATCACACACGTACTCACGCGCGATGCAGCGCTCATCCCTCCGGCACTTGTAGCTGCTGCTCAGGTCACAGGAGGCCGTGCTGGCTAATTAGACAACACATCTCATTAAAATCTTAATTTTAATTGCATTTTATGAAAAAGTAGAATTTTATTCGAATTGTTATGATCCAAGAGGTAACGAGATCTAAATTAAACATTGGACTGAAAATAAAGTTAAAATATTTTTTGAAAAAAAAAAACTTTTTTTTCACTGAATATTTCTGGCACCCGACGCCTTTAGACTAAAGAAGTGACGTTTTTATCGCCGCAAAACATCGTTTTAGTGGCCTAACAACGAGCAGTGTTTCTTTCAGACTTTTTTCTCCGGGGAAGAGGGGGGGGGGGGGCACTTATTATTTTATTTTTTTATTTTTTTGGGGGGGGGGGGGGGAGGCGGACAACATTTTCCGAAAGGGGGGGGGGGGCGGACACTGGTAAAAGTATATGTTTTCTATATAAATTCCATTTCTTTTCGGGGGGAGGGGTAGACTTTCTTCCAAAAGAGATGCCTGGAAGAAACTCTGATAACGAGGAAAAATCTTGCTTTTGCTAGATAACATTTCATACAATAAGATAACTCTTTCTATAATTAGATAACTCTTTCTATGATTAGATAACTCTTGCTACATTGAGATAACTCCTGCTATAATGAGGTGACTTCTGTCTGACGCTAATCTAAAAACATTACATCGTATAGATAGCAACATTGTAGAATGTGTGTGTGGGGGGGGGGGGGGGGTGGGCAATTAAAGAGGTGCTAACGGTAATTAGAAGCCCGTATACATCCAGGTGATGGCACGGACTTCAGGTCTCCTGTTGGATGACATTAAGGTCTAACAGGGTGCTCTGGTTGTCATGGCGACTGGGAAATGATCTCGAGGCGGGGTAAAGTGCGAAAAAAAAGTGCTAAACTATCGTTTGGAAAGAGCTTCATAAATAAACCGGGAGTGATCTCCCCTAAACTTTCTCGAATATTCTTATATAAAATAACAGGGGATGGGAACTCGGGCTATAGACATGATTTTTAATCCATTTTAAATACTTAAAGTTTTAAAAATAGAATAAAATCTCGTAGACAAATTAATTGCACACCAAGTGAACGCGAAATAAAAAAGCGCATAATAGTGCGCAATATTATTATTACTTTTAAAATTTACATTGGTTTTTTGAGAAATCGGAAGTAGCGTAAAGTACGACTTCCAGTCAACGGAAATGACTCAAAATTTAATCGAAGGTAGAGAATTAGATCTTTTACTTACGTATGAAATTTCATTTATCTATCTGAAATAGTACTCAAGTTATAGGCTTTTGAAAAATTCAAAGTAGGAAAAGTACCACTTCCGGTTATCGGAAATCGCTCAAAAGTTGATACGGATCTACGATTTTGATTAAATACTTATATATGAAATTTCATCAACCTAGCTGTAACGGTACTCAAGTTATCGTGTTTACACACGGACACACACACACACACACACACACAGACACACAGACATACGGACAAGATTGCAAAATTATGTTTTTCCGTATCAGTGAGATGCAAAACGTCGAGATTTGCAAAAATCTCGATTTTTTTTTTTTGCACGATTACAAGACTTTCTCTATACTTCGTATATACGAGAAAGTAAAAAGTGCATGGTGGTACAAGATTTTATTGCTACGTAATCTTTTTGGTTTATAATTTGGTTGATAGATAATTACGTTGGGACACGATTTAGTTGGTACATGATGCTGTTGGTACATACAATTTCAAAGCACATAATTGTGTCGATTCATAATTTATTAGGTACATAGTGTTGTTGGTACATTATTTTGTTTGTATATAATTTTATAGGTACAGATAATTTCAAAGCACATAACTGTGTGAGTGCATAAATTCATTGGTACACAATGTTCTTGGTACACAAATTTATTGGTCCACAATGTTGTTGGTCGACAATGTTGTTGGTACATGTTTTGTTGGTACAACATTTTGTTGGTATACTATTTTGTTGGTACAAAGATTCACTGGTTCATAATTTCATAGTTGGCGATGATTACGATATTATGTCATGCAATGGCCTAGGGATGTTGTAATATGTAATGGACCAGACATCGATACTTACAGCAGTTAGCCTCGTCCTCACATTGTACACAGTCGCACTTCCGGTCACAGACGTTACTTGCCCGGATGCACTGGCCGTTGGTGCACCGGAAGTTAGGGGCGACACACCCACCTGAAGGTTAAGGACGGGTTATTGATGGGTCAAGTATAAGAATTAGGGGTTGGAATTTATCATTTCAGCTTCAGCAGTAAAGCTAAGTTGTGATCAGTCTTAATGGAAAAAAATGTTTGTTTTTCTACTTTAGAGTGTGCTTGACTCGACTTGGACCTACTTGGGTCTGCTTGGATGTACTGTGTTATACTTGGGTCTGCTTGTATGTACTGTGTTATACTTGAATCTACTTGATTGTACTGTGTTATAATTGGATCTACCTGATTTTACTGTGTTATACTTGCATCTACTTATTGATTGTAGATGTGCTATACTTGGATCTACTTGATTGTACTGTGTTATACTTGGATCTACTTGGATGCACTATGTTATACTTGGATCTACTTGATTGTACTGAGTTATACTTGGATCTACTTGGATGTACTGTGTTATACTTGGGTCTACTTGCATGTACTGTGTTATACTTGAATCTACTTGATTCTACTGTGTTATACTTGGGTCTACTTTACTGTGTTATACTTGGATCTACTTGATTGTACTGTGTTATACTTGAATCTATTTGATTGTACTGTGTTATACTTGAATCTACTTGCTTGTACTATACTTACAGTTTGTTTCATCGTCGTGGGTCAGCAGACAGTCCACGTGACCGTCACAGACAGAACTGTTGGACACGTAGATCCCCGTCTGGCATTGGTGAGACAGTTCTGGTGGGCAAATAGGGCAAAATGGTGGGCAAATGGGGCAAAATGGTGGGCACATAGGGCAAAATGGTGGGCAAATAGGGCAAAATGGTGGGCAAATTGGGCAAAATGGTGGGTAAATAGGGCAAAATGGTGGGCAAATTGGGCAAAATGGTGGGGAAAATAGGGCAAAATGGTGGGAAAATAGGGCAAAATGGTGGGAAAATATGGCAAAATAGTGGGCAAATAGGGTAAAATGGTGGGCAAATAGGGCAAAATAGTGGGCAAATAGGGCAAAATGGTGGGAAAATAGGGCAAAATGGTGGGCAAATTGGGCAAAATGGTGGGAAAATAGGGAAAGATGGTGGGTAAATAGGGCAAAATGGTGGGTAAATTGGGCAAAATGGTGGGTAAATAGGGCAAAATGGTGGGCAAATAGGGCAAAAGGTGAGAAAATAGGGCAAAATGGTGGGCAAATAGGGCAAAATTTTGAGAAAATAGGGCAAAATGTTGGGTAAATAGGGCAAAATGGTGGGCAAATAGGGCAAAATGGTGAGAAAATAGGGCAAAATGGTGGGTAAATTGGGCAAAATGGTGGGTAAATTGGGCAAAATAGTGGGCAAATAGGGTAAAATGGTGGGCAAATAGGGCAAAATAGTGGGCAAATAGGGCAAAATGGTGGACAAATAGGGCAAAATGGTGGGAAAATAGGGCAAGATGGTGGGTAAATGGGGGCAAAATGGTGGGAAAATAGGGCTAAATGGTGGGTAAATAGGGCAAAATGGTAGGCAAATAGGGCAAAATGGTGAGAAAATAGGGCAAAATGGTGGGTAAATAGGGCAAAATGGTGGGTAAATTGGGCAAAATGGTGGGTAAATAGGGCAAAATGGTGGGTAAATTGGGCAAAATGGTGGGCTAATAGGGCAAATGGTGGGTAAATTGGACAAAATGGTGGGCTAATCGGGCAAATGGTGGGAAAATAGGGCAAAATGGTGAGAAAATAGGGCAAAATGGTGGGCTAATAGGGCAAAATGGTGGGCAAATAGGGCAAAATGGTGGGCAAATAGGGCAAAATAGTGGGTACATATGATTTATAGAGCGCAATGGTGGGTAATGTGGCTATTGTGAATTGTGTTGGGTAAAGCTAGCAATCGGCCTACAGAAAAAGTTTTGTTCTAACGTAGCTTGTACACACCGATATTTAAAGTACTTTTTAAAATCACAACTGGAAAATTTCGAATGTAAAAATCTCATGTGGAACCATAGAGATTGTAAAGTAATGTAAAAAAATAATAGAATTATATTTTAAAAGAGGCACCATTCTGTTTTTGTTTCTTTCCTTTGTCATATCGTTAACAAAATCAAGCGAAACGTAGACAAGGGGCACTAGGTTTAAAGGGACGCCACTCCGTTTAAAGTTAATTTATTTTTTCTGTCCCCAAGATGCACCTACCGGACCTGTCCATTTGAAATCTATGTGGCAGAAATGTGACAGGCTGCGAGATTACAGACAGCGCGAACTCGGGGGACGGGGAACGAATCCCGATCACACCAGGGCAATCAACTTCTCAACGGCAGGCGGGGAATTCTTCACTGTCGCGTACTGTGTCACATATTCGTTTCTAGATGGTACTAGTAATCGAATACCCAGTCTCAAACGGTTCTAATAGTCGAATACCCAGTCTCAAGCGGCTCTAGTAATCGAATACCCAGTCTCAAAAGGCTCTAATAATCGAATACCTAGTCTCAACTTGTTCAAGTAATCGAATACCCAGTCTTTAACGGCTCTAGGCAATCGAATACCTACTCTCAAATCGTTCTAGTAATCGAATACCCAGTCTCAAACTGTTCTAGCAATCGAATACCTAGTCTCAAACGGCTTTGGTAATCGAACGTGTCGTCCCTATCGGCCGAATAATTTGATAACTTCCCCTTTAGCTGTCTATAAGCTCAATACCTACACGGCCTAAAGCGGTTTCAGCGGTTCTAAATCTCAAATCACCGGACCCCATTAGTTAGCAATGCGTTCTGAGAGAATAGAAAATTTAAGCTCATTGGAATTAAGACGAGTCTAAATTAAGACACGCTTTGATTATCAGAATTAAGACTAGTCTAACTTAAGACACGCTTTGATTATCATAATTAAGACGAGTCTAACTTAAGACACGCTTTGATTATCATAATTAAGACAAGTCTAAATTAAGACACGCTTTGACTATAGGTAAGTCTTGAAGTTCCCATTTAGACCTAAAGATCTATCGGGTAGATAGGGTCTATATGTTTCTTGACCTCAGCATATGAAAGGATGCTATGTCCAGAGATATGCCCAGCCGCCTTTACGTCCCTAACGTGTCAGGTACCATCAGTCGGGTGGGCTCTGTGACTTCTCGAGACTTGAACGAGATCCGAACTCTAGACCTTCAGGCTAGCAGTAGAGCGCTCTACCACTACACCACATAGTACACTAAACGAATGAAAAACAAATACTGTTCAACGCACGTACAATTTGTAGGCTTGTTAAGTTGTTCAGATACAGTACAGCCAGTGGCGTAGCGAGGTCGGGTGTCACCCGGTGCGGCACTTAGTGGTGTCACCCCCCAGAGGCGTAGTGACCCGTGGACAAACGTTCAAATTTTCGATTTGCATTTGCATCACCCCCCTTAAGTTTTTCTCTATATATTTTGCTATTTTTTGCCTTGGTGTCACCCCCCCCCTCCTAAATGGTGTCACCCGGTGCGGTCCGCACCCCCCCCCCCCTCGCTACGCCTCTGAGTTCAGCTACATAAAATCTTCACTCGTTGAAAATAGTCAATCAATACAGATTTCTATGTTTGGTAAGTGAAGATTAAAAGTTAGAGCCTTTAATAAACTATGAAAAGGGGAGAGAGTGGTGGTAGGTTTCGCGTGGGTGGAGCAGTCTAAAATTCCGGACTAGCTTCAAATCCCGAAACAATTTAAGATCCACGAAACGCGTGCTTATATTGTCCAATTTTTTTTTATATTGACGCTGAATAAATAGGGGAGGGAACTTGTAATTTAAATAGAAGTCACGGCCTTTGAAAGTTTAGCTCCCTTGGTAATCCGCGGGTCTACTGTGGCTTGAGAAAATTGACACAAGATTCTCTAGCTCGCGCAGACAGTTTGCAGACAGGTGTAGACAGCTGTCTTATCTGGTAGGGAATTCCAGACTGGGGGGTGGGGGGGGGGGGGGGTTGTCGAGTAGAATTGTGTTAGTCTGGGTCGTGAGTGAGCATGGGGTTTGTTCGTTTAGCGAGGGGGTGGGGGTGGGGATGGTCAGTTGGTCAGAGATTTGGCTGCTGGTTAGGGATTAGCGGATGGGAAATGGTTTTCTGGAATGGAATAAGGATGGGGATTGGGAAATTGGAAGATTGGGGTGGAGGTTGGGGGTGGATACTGAAACTGGGAAATTGGTAGGTTGGATGGTGGGTTGGTGGGGTAGTAGGGTGGTAGGTTTTAGGGTGGTAGGTTTTAGTGTGGTAGGTTTTAGGGTAATAGGTTTTAGGGTGGTAGGTTTTAGGATGGTAGGTTTCAGGGTGGTAGGTTTTAGGGTGGTAAGTTTAAGGGTGGTAGGTTTTAGGGTGGTAGATTTAGGGTGGTAGGTTTTAGGGTGGTAAGGGGGTTGGGTTTGTCAAGAGAATAATCAACTTTAAGGTAGACACCAGTCCACAAAATCACCACAAATGTACACTAAACAACCGCAGTAAACTACTTATTTTTGCTCGGATACAAGCAAATACATCACCGGATACAAGACAATACATCACCTGATACAAGACAATACATCACCGGATACAAGACAATACATCACCGGATACAAGACAATACATCACCGGATACAAGACAATACATCACCGGATACAAGACAATACATCACCGGATACAAGACAATACATCACCGGATACAAGACAATACATCACCGGATACAAGACAATACATCACCGGATACAAGACAATACATCACCGGATACAAGACAATACATCACCGGATACAAGACAATACATCACCGGATACAAGACAATACATCACCGGATACAAGACAATACATCACCGGATACAAGACAATACATCACCGGATACAAGACAATACATCACCGGATACAAGACAATACATCACCGGATACAAGACAATACATCACCGGATACAAGACAATACATCACCCTGGCAAGATTTGAACTCATCACCAGAACGGTAGGCTGACGAGATATCAACTTTGCCACTTAAGGTGAGATGAAAACGGTGCAGATAGTTTACACCACAAAAAAACGTCTTTGTAACAATGCATGGTCGGCATGGTCGAGCCGGTAAAGCTCATGGTTGCTAAGCCTAAAAGTCACGAGTTCAAACCCTCGGGCAGATGAGGATCGTTAGCTGGGGACAACCACTTTTCAAAATCAAACAACTGCTGCCCTTTAGTTTGTTCTTAGTTGGACAAAGCAACCCCAAAAAGAAAAGCAGGCTGAAATCGAAGTCAATGGCCTCAATGGCGCATAATTGTGATGGAGGGGATCCCTTCCAACACTAAAATTAAGAATGAACAAGAAGAAGTAACACACTGAAACAAAATTCATTGCTGCGTCGTTGCAATTAAAAAAAAATTATCTTTGCAAAAAAAAAAAAAAAAAAATCTGTGTTAGCTAAAGGTTTGCTGATTTATTTTAGCTCTTTTTTGCTGTTATATTTTAGCTCTTTTAGTTTTGCTAATATATTTTAGCTGTTTGAGTTTTACTGACATATTTTAGCCTTTTGTGTCTTGTTGATATAATTTAGCTCTATTCATAAGCGCCGATCTGTAGTAGATTATCATGCTAGACTTTTATACACAGCAGGAGTCGATTGTTGGAGAGGGTATTTCAGTCCTGTGGAGTTGTGGTTCTTGGTGACTTAAGCATTGTGAATGGGTGGTTAATGGCAGTTAGTGATACTCTAGTGTTGGATCAAACGATTTGTGTTCAGGAATTGTGACTCGTGAGTTAGGGGCATCGTGAGGGGCGTGGCAGGGCATTGTGGTTAAAGTGTGAAAGGGTATAGTGGTTAAAGAGTAACGGGCGTTACATAATTCAATGAGAATAAAGTGAGGTGGGCCTTGTGGGAGATTTCAGACTCTACTGCCTCAGTGTTGAAGTAATATCAGATTCTACTACGTCAGTGTTGAAGTAACATCAGACTCTACTACGTCAGTGTTGAAGTAACATCAGACTCTACTACGTCAGTGTTGAAGTAACATCAGACTCTACTACGTCAGTGTTGAAGTAATATCAGATTCTACTACGTCAGTGTTGAAGTAACATCAGACTCTACTACGTCAGTGTTGAAGTAACATCAGACTCTACTACGTCAGTGTTGAAGTAACATCAGACTCTACTACGTCAGTGTTGAAGTAACATCAGACTCTACTACGTCAGTGTTGAAGTAACATCAGACTCTACTACGTCAGTGTTGAAGTAACATCAGACTCTACTACGTCAGTGTTGAAGTAACATCAGACTCTACTACGTCAGTGTTGAAGTAATATCAGACTCTACTACGTCAGTGTTGAAGTAACATCAGACTCTACTACGTCAGTGTTGAAGTAATATCAGACTCTACTACGTCAGTGTTGAAGTAATATCAGACTCTACTACGTCAGTGTTGAAGTAATATCAGACTCTACTACGTCAGTGTTGAAGTAATATCAGACTCTACTACGTCAGTGTTGAAGTAACATCAGACTCTACTACGTTAGTGTTGAAGTAACATCAGACTCTACTACGTTAGTGTTGAAGTAACAGAGTTGACCCCGAAAGTGAGAGGCCATCGGGGCATATCTGCCCAGATGGCAGATTCAATGCCTCCATTTGAACATTAAAGTTAAACATAAATGCTGATGGAATGTCGCCACATTTAGATAAATAAGAATGAGCTTGAAACTACATTTCTACAAACTCGAACTCATGTAGGAGGTTTGTGTTGAGAGAAACTACATTTCTACAAACTTCAAGTATACGATTTGTATTGAGAGATTAACTAATAAAAAATGTGGTTTTAACACTTAGTTTTCTACCTTGTAAAACGTTTTTTTACCGATTAAAAACGAGGATAATTTTAATCACTACGCGGACATTTTTCTTTAAACATGCGATCTTGGAAAAACTTTGCTAAAAAACCCGAGTTTGCGCATGCGTAATGTGATGTTTACCTGTCAGGTGTGAGAAAGTTTACCTGGGCTGGGGTAGATGATCCGGCAACAAACAACCAGACCGCCACGCTTCAGCTGCTACAGGCTACTGGAACCCGTGGTACACAAACAGGAAGTACGGAGATTTTGGCATACGGGTAGGGGGTGTGGTGGGGGAGGGGGATATAGGTGAGGGGGTATGGTGGGGGTGGTGGGGGATATAGGTAAGGGAGTGTGGTGGGGGTGGTGGGGGTATAGGTAAGGAAGTGTGGTGGGGGTGTGTGGGGAGTATAGGTAAGGGAGTGAGTTGGTTGTGTGGGGGGTATAGGTAAGGGAGTGAGTTGGTTGTGTGGGGGGTATAGGTAAGGGAGTGAGTTGGTTGTGTGGGGGGTATAGGTAAGGGAGTGAGTTGGTTGTGTGGGGGGTTTAGGTAAGGGAGTGAGTTGGTTGTGTGGGGGGTATAGGTAAGGGAGTGTGGTAGGAGTGAAGGTGAGGGAGTGAGGGTGGAGGGGTGAGAAGAGGTGTGTCTGTGGTGTAGGTGTGAGCTGGTGCAGTTAAGTGTGGTGTTGGTGTGTGCAGTGTCTCTGTGTGTGGTGTAGTTGTGTGTGTGTGTGTGGTTGTGTGTGATATGTGTGGTGTTGGTATGTACATATGGGTAGCTGTATTCGTTATGTATTGGGTTTTTAAAGATTTTATTTATTGACATTTTTTCGTAAAATCTAATTAGAAATAAATTAACACCCAATTTTTAATGTAAGATAATCCTCAGCTTCATCCCAAATTTCTCTGACGTTTTTCGCCCTCTTAATCCATAAATTTGTTTTTTGGACGGCCATCGGAATCGATTTCTGGACGGTCATCGGGAACGATTTCTGGACGGCCATTGGAATCGTGTACTGGTTGAAATTTTCCTCTAAAAATAACGTGTTGATTAGTGTAGCGCTAAGTAAATGGTGACACGATTTGTGTCTTGGTGAGTCGCCTGTTGGTCACTATCTAGAGACGTCTGCTGTGATCGCGTGAGTTCTCGTGTGTTTCAGTGTGGCCACGCGTGATCTCACATGATCTCGCATGATCTCGGATGTTCTCGGATGTTCTCGTGTGTTCTTATGTGACCTCCTAAGCAAGGCTAGCCCTGATCTTGTCGCTGGTACCAGAACTAATCAATTACTCCTGATATTGGTACCAACGGTTACCATCCTCCCTCACCCCTCCCCACACCTCCATCTACCTCCACCACCCCCTCTCCCCACCCCCACCTCCACCCCTACCACCACCTCCACCCCCGCCGCCTTACTTTGAACGATAATACATTTCCTTTCATCCAATAAAAACGTCACCCATCACACCGTGAGTACTTCTTGGTGTGTTTTTAACACCAGCATGTCACGCTCACAATAAAGTGGGTCGATATGGGTCAAGGAGATAACCCCGAACAGGGGTCATAGTGGACCCGGTTCACCGTCACCACAAGCACATTGACTTTTGTGTACTGGGGTGAGACTAGGGTCGCTCTCAGGGTATTTCAGCACATTAGGCCATCCCATAATTTCTGGTCTGTTTCATCCCAGCTGTTTCGGTTCACTGATTAACAACGTTAACTAACTGTATAACGACGTTAAGTACCCTCATAACGACGTTAAGTAATTTGATATTGACGTTAGCTAAATTTATAATGACTTTAACTAATTGTATACCGACGTGGAGTAACCTAATAGCGACGCAAATCAATTTGATAGCGACGCTAATTTACGATATAACGACCTTAACTAACTTATAACAACGGTAAGTACTCTTATAACGACGTTATCTAAGTGTATGGCATTAGTTAACTGTATAACGGCGTCAGCTAACTGTAAAACAACGATTCAACGACGTAAACTAAATTAATAGCAATGTTATACGACTTTCATAGCGACGTAAACTAACTCTATAATTACGTGGACTGGTATAATGAGTATCGCAAGAAATTTTATTTGAACTGATCATCGATCCCTTACTATCCATATTGGCATGCGAACCAATACAAGCGGCAGAATTTTTGTTAAAGATAGAATTGTGGGCCAGGATTTCAGTTCAATAAATGTCAAGATTTTGTATTAGAGTTTTTGGAAGTTAACGAAAAAAAAATCTACAAACTTTGTACTGGGGATGGGGGATGGGAAGGGGGATAAAACAAAATATTTCACATACCTACCACGTGACACCCGTCAAACGTGACACCCATTCATATGACACCCATACATATGACACCCCCTACATTTCTTCTTCTTCTCCATTCTTAATTTTTGAGTTGGAAGAGATCCCCTCCAACGCAATTAAGTTTACGTGTCAACTGGTTATGTTCCATTGAGGCCATTGACTCCGATTTCAGCCTGCTTTTCTTTTTGGATTTGCTTCCATAGTCTTTGTCCAACCAAGAACAAACTACAAGGCAGCAGTTGTTTGATTTTGGAGTTGTCTCTCCTAGAAGAGTGGCTGTCACCAGCAAACGAGCCTCAACTGCCCGAGGGCTCGAACTCGAGACTTTTGGGTTTAGCAACCATGAGCTTTACCAACTCGACCACGCCCCTTATCCCTATAATAGATTACCTGAAGTTGATATTTTAAAAGTGTATGGTGACCGGAAGGTCAGATTTAAAACGTATGTAGTGTATGAAACTGATATTCACCAAGCGTCAAGAAACCGGAAGTTAAATATGAAAACCGGAAGTTGAATCTGAAAACCGGAAGTCTAGAAAGAAATGACTCACTGCATGTCTCTGGCCTCTCGTCACTGCCGTCGGCGCAGTCCTTCCTGCCGTTACACAGGTCCACCTGCAGGACACACTCGCCGTTGTCGCACCGGAACTCGTTGTGGAAACAATCCCGGAACACTGTGGAGTAAACCAATGTGGGGGCCTTATAACGGAAATGATGACTGCTACATAGAAACAATCCCGGAACACTGTGGAGTAAACCAATGTGGGGGCCTTATAACGGAAATGATGACTGCTACATAGAAACAATCCCGGAACACTGTGGAGTAAACCAATGTGGGGGCCTTATAACGGAAATGATGACTGCTACATGGAAACAATCCCGGAACACTGTGGAGTAAACCAATGTGGGGGCCTTATAACGGAAATGATGACTGCTACATGGAAACAATCCCGGAACACTGTGGAGTAAAACCAATGTGGGGGCCTTATAACGGAAATGATGACTGCTACATGGAAACAATCCCGGAACACTGTGGAGAAAACCAATGTGGGGACCTTATAACGGAAATGATGCCTGCTACATAGGTCAGGTGTAGGCCTATACGTTTAGTTTAAATTATTCGATTGGGAAAAACGAAAATTACAATGCATACAATAGCTTATAAAGATAAGTTAAATATTATAAACATATATACAAATTTCAGACAAAGAAACCCCCCACCCCCACCTTTTCCCAGTAGGAAAGATCTGTTGTAAATTTGTGATAGGAAAAAACTTTGACTATATAAAAAAAATGATGAAATCTAGTGTGGTGTATTGTCACTTGGTGGTCACTTGTGACATTATAGTACCATCAGAGTGACATTACGACACGGTAGTGACAACTATGGACCCATCAGCATGACATGCGGAATGGATCAGAGTTAAAAATTAAATCAATACCTGTTACGGTGATTTCAATTTGAGACAGGGTTACATTTTGTGTGTGACGTCAACGTGACTAACCACAGTCCATTTCATCTGACCCGTCCTTACATTCGTCCTTGACCTACTCACCACAGTTGACCTCATCTGACCCGTCCTTGCATTCGTCCTTGACCTACTGATCTGACCCGTCCTTACATTCGTCCTTGACCTATTCACCACAGCTCACCTCATCTGACCCGTCCTTACATTCGTCCTTGACCTACTCACCACAGTTGACCTCATCTGACCCGTCCTTGCAGTCGTCCTTGAAGTCGCAGTGCTTGAAGTACGGGATGCAGCGGTGGTTGGCGCACTTGAAGTGGGTCAAAGGGCAGCTGAAGGTCTCTGAGGGTAAAGGTCAAGGCTGGGTCAAACATACATTTTAATGCCGATCATTTGAAATAACACCATAATTATTATTAATTACATGATTATTCACCATCGTTATCTTGTATCTAATTCAAAGAGTATCTTTTTCTATAGGGCTGGTAAGTAGGTCACCAACCAACTTACGGCTCAATAAAACCTGCATGAGCCATATAACTGGTTGGTGACCTACGTACCAGCCCTATTGTTGCAGTACATTTAAAATTCATTATTTAAGTGGCTTCGATTTATTTTTACTGTTTTATCAGCATCTTATCCAGAGGGACAACTGACAGACAGACAGGCAACTGACAGACAGACAGACACCTGACTGACAGTCAACTATCTGAATAGAGCCGCATCAAAGTGTATTCCGTAGCTAGAATATTAAAGAAGGGGCCACAACCAGGCACAGCAATTAGCGATACACGTCATTTTAAGGCGCTTTAGGTGTGACATACGTCATTGTGTTGTAAAAATTGAGCTTTATTTAGTTTAAAGAGGATTATAGAAATTAATTGATTTCGCGATAGTAAAACTATTTTAATGATTGTATATTTTAATTTTATTAATAAGACAGCATGTAGTATTCGGTACAGTGGTGTCTTCTTGTCATGTAATTGTAGTTGCGGTTCGTTTAGTTTAAAGAGATTTACCTCCCCTGAACCCACCTCCTCACACCTCACTTATCTCACCTCACCCTAATCTCCAGTTATCTCCCTTTACCTCACCGATATCTCATCATGTCAGAGAGGTTAATGCTGATGATCCTCCTCCCCCCCCCCCCACCTACCTGTTACAGGTAACCAAACTCATCCTTCACTGATTACCACGACCTCGACCTACGATGATCACCCCCCCCCCCCCCCCCCCCCCCCCTTGCAGAAAGATGATAAATGTCGCCGGCCCAGTTTGTTTACTTCTTGTCTGGTATTGTTTACCGTGGTCCTCCGTCTAGAGCCCATTGTTAACTTTTGTTGGCGCAACAACCCCGAGTTAACATGACGTCAAGTACATTGGATGTTTACACGAGTAGCTTGACGCGTTGAGTTTAGGATTACTCGCATAGTTAGGATTAGCTTTCTAAGCCGCTCCTGTTGTGTTATTTATGTAATTCATCATCTTTTCACGTTCATGCCCTAGTCACATGGGGTAGGTGAAGTAGAGTTCATCTGTTTCAGAGACCTCGACTGATGAAGGGAAAGTGTGGTCAGCACTATGATCAGCCGCATTTGTTTTCCCTTACGTGAGTTAGGTACCCTTTAGGGGATTTCTACTGACTAAAACCCGGGTTCAAACTCGAGACTATCAGGTTAGCAGTCTAGCGCTCTCTAGTTAGACCACGCCGGCCCATGGTTTATGTAATAAGAAATGATAAATTAAACAATGTCTGATTTCTGTAATTCTTGGCGGTTGCAGGATTTGTGAGCGACTGAATTAGTAATAGCAATGTAATGCGGGGTGGTGGACGGGGTGGTAGACGGGGTGGTGGAGGGGGTGGTAGACGGGGTGGTGGAGGGGGTGGTAGACGGGGTGGTGGACGGGGTGGTGGAGGGGGTGGTGGAGGGGGTGGTGGAGGGGGTGGTGGACGGGTTGTCTGTGTATGGGACAGGTTGATAGGGTTGGTTTAGTGCACGTGTTTGGGTTGTTCGCCCTGTTATGTTAGGGTTGGTGTAGTGGAGGCCCTACAAAGCAGGGTTGTTTGGTGTATAAAGTGGGGTTGGCTGGTGAGGTCAACAAGGTAAGGATGGTACGAAGGCAAGTTGGGTGTGTGTGTGGGGTGGGGAGTGGGAGGAACTGAACGGACGGCATATCACGCCTGCTCAAGTTCTACCATGACTGGGCACCAAAGAGCTCCACTAAAGCTCCGTCTTCTGTCTCATGCCGCAAATTCGTCGCTTAGTTAAATTGTATTAGATCTGTTGTAAGATTTCAGGGGAAGCGACACCGTTAAATCGCGTTACTTCTAACACTGATTGCTCTCTCCCCTGCGACCAACTGGCACACGTACAAGCGCTGATTGACGTGGCCAGGTACAAGTAATCTGCGCGCGGCACCATCAGCGGGTCATGCGCAGAACAAGTCAGTTGAAACACGGATGCCGATGTCAGGTAGATAATTAATTAACAACATAATTTATTACAAATGGAGAAGGAGCGATAATGATAATCATTTTTTGGCCGTATGAGAAGTTCACATTAGCATGTGACGTACGTTTGATCCGAACCTGATTTGAAAGGAACAATTTGTATTTGAGTTTCTTTCAGACATCTTTTCTTTTCAGGACCACTACCCTTAACTCCTCCCCTCCCCCACCCGATCACGTCAACCCCACCATCCCACCCCCATTCCCACAATAATGTATATTGAAAAGCTATACTTTAAGTGATGTCCCCTCCCCCCTAGAAAAATGTGATGTCCCTCTCCCCCCTAGAAAATGTATGAAAGAAACCCTGCCAGCGTTTCGTACACACATTTCACATAACAAATGTACAACAAACTTGCTACCAACCCCCTTCCTCTATGTATGCGGTCGGCACAAAATTGTTGTTATAACAACGTTAAGAAACTCCGATAGGGTTTTTTCTTCTATGAGGAATTGTGCCCTTGGCATAGTCTGTTTCAAACCGAGGCTGAAGTACTCAACACACGAAGACAACAACACAGAAAGTTAAACCATTCTTCCATGACATCATGTACTGGAAGGAAACAAAGTCCCCCCCCCCCAACCCTCCCTTCTTTAAATAAAACCACACAAGAAGATAAACAAAAAATATGCAGTGCCGATTCTATTCGACGATTGAAGAATGCTTTCAGCTGCCGGCCGACGTGTAAAAAATGGTTTCCACACGGGACCGGCAGGGGGCCTGCATCCACCGAGATTAGAAAAGTTTATACCGGAACTTAGATGTCTCGAGAATCGAATGAATAAATAAACTCCGGGGCGGCGCTAGGGTCGGGATGAAAGACGCCCAGCGCCACCTGCCTGTCTGTCCGATGGCGTCCTGGTCTGTCGCTCGCCTCGCATGACGTCACTGCGTCAGGGCCGCGCGTCATTTCGACGCAGCTTAAAAACCGCTGCGTTCATTTCCGCGTGTGGACATAACGGCTTCGCCAATTGGGCTTTGCTAAAACGACATGATCTGTCTTACGCTTCAAATCTTCTGGAATACGGTTCTCTCCTTCGTAAATAAAGGGACAGGCTTGCAGTGTCTGATGCAGTTAAGTTTCATTCAGAATCTTCTGGAATACGGTTAACTCCTCCGTAAATAGGGGGACAGGCTTGCAGTGTCTGATTCAGTAAAGTACCATTTAAAATCTTCTGGAATACAGCTCTCTCCCCAGTAAATAAAGGGACAGTGTCTGATGCAATAAGTATCATTTAGAATCTTCTGGAATACGGTTAACTCCTCCGTAAATACAGGGACAAGCTTGCAGTGTCTGATGCAGTTAAGTTTCATTCAGAATCTTCTGGAATACGGCTCTTTCCCCCGTAAATAGAAGGACAGTTTCTGATGCAGTTAGTACCATTTGGAACCTTATGGGGCAGGTGAAATAGAGTTCACCTATTTCTATGACCCCCGCATATGAAAGGATCGTTTGGTGAGTAATATGCTCTACCGCATTTACACTCCCTAACGCAGAGGCGTAGCGATGGGGGGGGGGGGGGGCAGGGGGGACATATGTCCCCGGGCGCCGACCTTAGGGGCGCTAAAATGGGTTGTAAAAACAAATTAAAATGTCATTTTAGCTGCATTTTTTCAGTTGCACGAGGGGGGGGGGGGTGTGCAAATAGAAAGTTTGAGGGGGGGGGGTGCAAATAAAAAAGTTGAGGGGTGAGGGTGCAAATCGAAAATTTCGTCACAAGGGGGGTGCCAAATTGAAAGTTTGTCACCGGGCGCCGGGAAGGGTCGCTACGCCTCTGCCCAAACGTGAGTTCAGTACCCATTAAAGCTGGGTTTACTCAGGCACTTCTTACAGACTCAAGCCCGGGATCCGCACTCGAGACTTTAGTGTAACCAGCCGGACGCTCTACAGTTTGACCATGCCGTCCCCTTTTAGTTACATTAGTACCCTCTAAATGCGGGACTTTCTTGTGGAAATTATCTACTCATAAGATTGCCTCGTCGCTTTAAACCTCACATTATCATACCAGCGCTATCTAACTAAAGCCATAAAAATGATGGGGAACATGTTATGAGGTTTTTATTATTTATGTATTTTTATAGCACTGTGACATTTTGATACATCCTGGCTGGTTTAGAGATTAGTGTTTGATGGCTGGTTGCTGGGTAGCTTCGGGTTGGAAACAGGCAATACGCATGAGTTTTATTGCTAGGCAATGTGGATCTAAAAAACTAATCTCAATTCACGTGGAAAATTGATTAATTGAAGGGCAACAAGATTTAGTCTCAAATTATTTTGGTCTTTAAAATGGAAGAGAATTTGCCTAAATTGTGCCAACATGGCAAGCCGTCCACGTAAAACTGTCGGTTGTGTAAGGAGAAGGCGTTGATCTGGCATTTAGTAATAGCGCTGTCTTTGATTAAATTGATTGTTGTAGATTACAGCTGTGTTTGAAGTGGTTAAAATGCTCATTTATAGTAGTACTGCCTAAGAAGTACTACTTCCCCAAAGTATTACTACTATAAAGTACTTACGTCCCAAAGCACCACTACCACAAAGTACTTCTTCCACAAATCACTATTGCCTGAAAGTACTAAAGCCACAAAGTACTACACCAACAAAGTAATACAGCAGAAAAGTACTACAGGCTCAAAGTCCTACAGGCACAAAGTACTACACCCACAAAGTACTACACTAACAAAGTAATACAGCAGCAAAGTACTACAGACTCAAAGTCCTACAGGCACAAAGTACTACACCCACAAAGTACTTTACAGCCACAAAGCATTACAGCAACGGATCAGCAGGTACTCACATTCCCGCTAGATGGCGCCTGTAATTAAACTTTGTCT